AGCACTCTACCACTGAGCTACATTTCAGTAATTTTTTTTTTTTTTTTTGGAGACAGGGTCTTGCCAAATTGCTAAGGTTGGCCTTGAAATTGTGAACTTCCTGCCTTGGCCTCCTGGATCTCAGCTAAACAGAAACATTTCTAAAAAGTGGAGCTGCTCTCACGTGCCACTAGCCATAGAAATAAACCAATTCCTTTTACCTGGGTTGATATGTGATTTGTGACAGCTGGAGAGAGAGAGGTTCAAAAATAACCTCCTTCAGCCTGGGGTTGTAGCTCAGTGTGAGACACTGGGTTCAATCCTCAGTACCACATAAAAATATAAACAAAGTTTTTGTGTCCATCCACAACTAAAAATATTTTTAAAAAATAGCCTCCTTCAATATTTAGGGTATGGCATGAGCCTAGCCTCCTCCATCATTAGTTCATTAGAAAAATTAGGTTGGGAACTGCTGGGTGTGGTGGTGCATGCCTGTAACCCCAGCAACTCAGGAGCTGAGGTAGGAGAATCACAAGTTTAAGATCAGCCTCAGCAACTTAGCAAGACCCTGTCTCAATAAAAAGCGCTGGGGATGTAGCTTGGTGTCAAAGCACCCCTTAGTTCATTAAAAAAAATCAGAGATTGCAGGATAATTATGCCATGATACAGGTGGAACTTGCTCTTGGAAAACTAGTGCTCTTATGCATATTCTATGTTACACCAAAGATGGTCATTTCAGAGTATAGCAGTATTGTAATAATATTGGGAATTGTACTTTCTCTGTAGCAGTGAAACCCAACAATGGTACAAGAGAGAGTGGGCTTAAAACAATGCCTCATACACTCTCCTACCTGTCCAGCAAACAAGGTGGCTACAGGATGTACTTAGAAGCAGACTGGGAAGGAAGCTGAGGAGCTGAGGATAATGGGCCTCACCCAGCTCTAAGTTTAATATCTTAAGTGTTGCTAAAGAGGCAATAAAGACAGAAATTGTAGAAAAAATGTATCACATGCCTTGTTATCCATTTATTAGAGTTTTCTTTCTCAGCACTGAGTTTCCCAGGTTTGCTCCTTCAGTGCCAAAGAAGGGTAGCTTGCTGCTCAGTTCTGGGAATTCAGCTGGAATAAAGAAACCGAGCCTCGGGAGACAGCACATTCCCTCTTCCCTCAGCCCCAGGAGAGAAGGTATTTCTCGCTTCTTGAAGTCATTTCTGGCAGTGGTAAATTGGGAATAACCATGAAATATCACTCTCAGTCTGTTCTTCACTGTGGAGATTTGCATTAAAATGTAAATAGTTTTCTGATTAACAAAAGTCTTTTAAGACAACCATGTGATGCCTTCAGAGGCTGTGACTAGAGGCTTTAAAGCCTGGCCTGTGGCCTCTCAGAGGCTGCTTGCTAGCTGGTTGCCTTACTTGATCATTTGTTGTCCTGGTAATAATATTTAAAGCAGCATCTGTGATTTCTTTTTTTCTGAAAGAATAAAACCCTCTAAAATTTTCTTATTTTAATTTTGGCTGACCAGACAAACTTGATGTCCATCTCTTTTCCCGTCACATGGCTAGTATAAATTAGTGATGTGCTCCTTGTCAGACCCACAAGGAGCACTACTGTCATTCAGCTCATCACACCAAGTTCAGCTGACAACAGCACTCGAGCAGAACTGGAGACAAACTCACCAGCTAAATAACAAAGGAGAGGGACTATTTTCAAAAGGGGTTTAAAAATATTAAGCACCTGTATATATTAATTCAGACTTTTTCCCTATAATTTCTGAAATTGGAGAGGCCAGGCAATGCTCTCACTCCACTGGCTTACTTCCCTTAGTCCTGGTGTACGGATACTCGGAAGCGCACAGGGGACTGTGCTTGGCTTCTGGCCACAGCAACGGTCCTTATCCCCACTGACCACTCGACGTTATACTGAGATGACATCCTGTAGCCTAATCTTTGCTATAACGGTGAGATCATTATTCCTGTTGAATACATTCATCCCAAGGTTGGCTCAGTGGGGACAATGGTACATCTTTTTGTTCTTTAAACAAAGTTCCTGCCCACCTACCCTTTCCAGGTCCCTGGGATCCTACTTCTTGCTTTGTCTCACCCCCAGCTGCTGGCGTATTTAATAACCATGCAGATGTGCCAGAAAAACATTTAGTGCATTCACTGTAGGTAGATATGACTGGACTTTTTTTTTACTGTGACACTTGAGTCATGTTGAGTAATGAAATAAACAGAAACTAAAACGCAAAGCAAGCACAAGAATCATCTCTTAATCCATGTCTTAAAAAAAAACCAAACACTCTCAGCTAAGGAAAAAATAAACAAACTTATGCCCCCTTTCAGCTCGCTGACTCTCAAAAGAATGACTGACATCATCTCATTTTTAAAAAGAGCTTTTAAAACAGTGACTCCTCTGCTTGCCTTCCTAGAAAAGGCAATTTTGCTCTTGATTAATGTTTATTGTAGAAAATGAAAGCCAAGGAAGAAATACAAAACGCTTCTAATTAAAGAGTCTTTTAAAACAACCGTTGAGTGTGAGAGTGCTTGTTTATCTGGGAGGCCCCAACCCATGCAAAGAAGTCGTAGCATCACCTGGGACACCAGGCAGATAACCCAGTAAAACTCTTCCAAGGGTTCACATAGGTGTCTGGAGATGTCACTATGCCCACAGTGTAGAAACCAGCATAAAAAAACAAAAAAGAATCACAGAGCTGGGAGGGAAATGCAGAAATCCCTAGTCCAGTTGCCAGGGGAACCCAGGGGAGCCCCTCTCACAAGGCTGTGTGATACCACCCAGAATCCTTTCCTGCCAAGAGAGGGACCAGCTTACTGGAAGACCTGCCCCTGGGAAGGAGCAGCCTCTTATTTCCACTGCTGGAAGTTCTATCCCAAATAGCTTCTGGGTTTTTATCAGTGGGACACCTGTCTCCCCAAAGGACTACCTGTCCTCTTCTGTGCCAAGGAATTACTCTAAGCAAATAAAGTCCCTTTGCTGCATGTCAGGCCTTCAAATATTTGAAAACAATTAGGACATACTTCCAGCCCAAACCTTTCTGCAGCATGAAGCATCAAAGCTGGAGAGGTGAAAACTGGTGTCTGAGCTAGCACCTATCTAACTGGTCTGGACCTTCCATCTGACTCATTTACTGCAGGCTTGGTGTGAAACATATAAAGGCACAAGTCACTGCCCTTGAAGTACATGCAATTCAGTAGACATCATCTTAGTTAATAAACATGCGTGCCCACTAGTATTAGGATCTATTTATAATCTGACCTTGTTCCAGACAAAAGGAAAAAAATCCATGTTTGTTTCTTGCCAGAAATATAAGAAAATGCTTTATAAGTATTTCTTAAAAGCATCAGCACTCTAATTAACATCAGTATTGCTGTTAATGCATTCTGACAATTAGGGTAATAAGGTTAAAATCAATTTTCCAACTTGTGACAGACCATAGTTAAGAACCCAAAATGAATCAGCTGTTGTAAGTAAAAGAATTCATTTGCTCCTTAAGAGTTAACTCTATAAATATCTAATTTTAAAAAAACCCTATTTGTTAAACTGATATATTCAAACGTGTTACAGTAAAAATCTGATATACCCAAATAATTGTCTTTTAAATTTTAAATATATTTAAGCTTACTGAGTAATGATAATATGCTGCAGAAGAGCAACAAAAACATTTTAAGGTTTTTCAGTAGTGTGTATACAAATGTATGTGCACTATATATAAGATAACAAGCCAGAAAGTCTTCTTTCAAATCTTTTTGGAACATTCAGCTATTTAGGTAAACAGCCCAAAGAAATACATAAATTCCAAAACATCTCTGGAGAGAAAAGTCACTTTAAATGTTAGCATCTTTCCCCTTACAATTCAATGGCGAGTAAACGCTGGGAAATTCTTGAATGTGCAAAAAAAAAAAAAAAAAAAAAAATCGTTTAACAAAATAATAAATTTCAAACTTGACAGTTTTTAAATGACAATTCTACCTTTAATATTCTTACAGGTTTCTGGAAATGCTTAATAACCTAAGTATTACACTCATTTTGGTAGTTTATATTCTGTTATAAAATCGACTGCAGCCACCTACATTACAGAGCATGGTTATATTTTTCCTTAGGCCACCTCGTTTGCATTAGTGGACTAGATCGTACTGCTAAATATCAAAGCTTGAAATCATTCAACACAGGTCAGTGTGGAAACGCAAGTTAGAGAAACTACAGTAATTCACTGTAGCGGACGACAGCTCAGTAGCCAAGCTTGACTCCTCTGCATATGTGCATTATGCTCCATTTCAAAAGTCACAAGAAAACCGTTAATTTAGGGTAAAACTCAAGCTCGCCCCGAAGCTTCGGAGAAGGCCTGCAAGGTGGAGTACTTACGTAAAGGGTTACCAGGACGCCCGGCACCACAACTTACTAGGGAGGGTCTCGAACGTCCACAGGCGGAAAGCAGCTCCCTTCTACAGGCCTGGAGGATTCGGACAGGCTCCTCCCTCCAGCATCCTGGACCCAGCCCGGCCAGGCCCCGGGGCGCTCCCGGTGCACCTGCAATGCGGTGCCCTGGCCCCACGATCCCGCCCCGGGCTGGCGGCGCGGCCCGGCCAGCTCTCCTCCCGCTTCGTCCCGCAGCCCGCGGGGCGCCCTCCCCAGCGCGCCGGGGTCGCGGCGCCGCCCCCGGCCTCTGCCCCGCTTGGTTTCCCGGGAGCCGTCTCTGGCAGGGACTCCCCTGCCCCGAGGAGCCGGCGTTCCTCCCTAGAGCCTGGGGCGGGCGGGGACCCCCCGGCGGGCGGCTGAGTTCAAAGCCGAGCGCGCGAGCTCGGTCCCCACCGCGCCGCCAGGTGAGCGGGGCTGGACTGGGCGCGCCCCGGGCCCCGCCTCACCTGCGGCGCGGCCGCTGCGGTCCTTCAGGCGGCTCCGCGGCTCGGCGCGGTCCTCCAGGCGGGCGGCGGCGGCGGGGACCCGCGGCCCATGGGCGGGGCAGGCGGCGGGGCTGGGCCCTGCGGCCGGCGCCGGGGGAGGTCAGCGGGCGCCGCCCGTCCGGCGCATCTCTCCGGTCCCAGCGAGCGCTCGCCGCGATGCACCCTGGGAGCCGGCCGCGCCGAGGCCTGGCCGCTCTGACCCGGCGGGCGGGCGCGGCGCCGGCGCGGCGGCTGGCTGCAAGTGCGGGTAGGGGCGGGGGAGCCGATCGGCACTCACTCGGCGGGGAGGGGGCAACGCCCCACTCCCCGCTGCTGAGGCAGGGCGGGGGCAAGGACCCAGGGGAAGGGAGGGTCCGGCGGGTGGGACGCAGGCGCACTTGCTCAGGTGCGGCCGCAGTGCGGTTGCCCTGGGTAACGCGGGCGGGGGCAGGGGGCGGCGAGGGAGGCCGGCGGGAGCGCGCTCGCGCCGCGGTGGGGGCGGGGGCGCGGGCCGTACGGCGCGCATGCGTGCGGCCCTTCTCCCTAGGGGCTCGCCGGCCTCGTGCGTGCGCACGCGCGCCGTCCCCCGGAGGCGTCTGGGTGTGCGGAGCGCGCGCGCGGCTCGGAGGCGCACCTGTGAGGTGTCCCCGGAGGAACGGCGGGTGGGCGCTCGGAGCCCGCGGCCTGGGGCGCTCGCAGCCCGCACTTGGAGTGAGTTGGCGCGGCCGGGCCGTGGACTCCGTATTTTCTCTCCCGGCTGGGGGCGGGGAGCGGGCCGGGGGCTGGCGGGCGGCGGAGTGGACTGAAGAAAAGGAAAACAACCCATCTCTCGGGACGGGCCTCGAGCCGCGCCGGTCCTGGGGGTCGCGCGGGAGGGAAGGTCAGGGCGGCGCTGCTCGGGCAGGCCGGGCTGGGAGGCCGCGCGGGGCCTCGGGCGGCGGCCGGGGGTCGCGGGGGGCGGCGGGGCTCGGCGGGCGGAGGCCGCGGGCGCCGGACTCCCGGGCTGGCCCATTGTTGTAGCGGCCGGGGGCAGCGGAGCGCGGCGGCCCGGAGGCCGTGCGGTCGCGCCGAGAGCGGCTTCAGGGGGTCCCCGGGGAGCGGCCATGGCCGCGCGGGGCCGGGAGCCGGGCTGCGGAGCGGCCCGCTGCAGGGTGCGGTGTTGTTGCTTGCAGCGCGCAGGCCGCGGAGCATCGCGCTCAGGTGATGAAGAGCGCGTCGCGCACCCGGCACAGGAGCCAGCCGCCGCCGGACGCCTCCATTGTTTGACCACGCCAGGCCGGCCCTGCCCAGGTGAGCTGGCCGCGGCGGCACCCCTCCTGCGCGGCCTGCAGGCCGGCCGCTCCCGGCGGGACCCGCTGCAGCCCTCGCCTGCCCCTGCCTCTGGTTAACTCGCGGTGCCCCCTCCCCGACGTTTTTCCTTCCGGATTAGGCTGCCGTGTCGCCCGGCCAGCTCACCCCGCGTCCCCGCAAAACTCAGCTCCTTTGTGAGACCTTTCTTGCCCAACTCTACCAACTAAATCGAATCTCTCCAGCAGAGTCTGCTCCGTATGGGCGAGCTGCTAGTTTGATAACTGGCTGTCTTATCGCAACAAAGGAGTCCTGGTATTGAAAAAACTATTTCCAGGCTATTGCCTTCTAAAGGAACGTTTTGTGATACTTAAAACAGTTTATTGTTTTATCAAGATCGAACTGTTTTTATGCATTTTGTCTTCTCTTTTAGAGGGGACCCCTAATCCCTTTGTAGACGCAAAGCTTTTCAGAGCAGGGAAGTGTGACCTTGTTCAACCTACCGGTTAATTTAAAATTTAAAAATTAATTTTGGATTAGTAGAGTAGTTCATTTTCTTTGTACACACCGGTGTATCTCAAGAGATGGCAAGACTTTGACTATCACCACCACCCTCTGCAGATAAGGACTAGGATGTGTGTGCTGTGTGTCCTTCTGGCTTTTTAAAAATACTTGGAATCATCTTTGATTGTTTTAACAAGTATCAGCTAGCTAACATACTGTCTTTCAACTTCAGCATTATGTGCTTCAACTAATTTTTAAGAACTGCTGCATCATGTTCTGTAGTTTGGGTATACTGTAATTTATTCAGCCATTTCCCAGATTATGACAATCTATAAAGTTTTAGCTTGAAAAATAGCTTTATTTGGTGGTGGTTGTTCTCTGGTGAGATGCAGTTTTAGCGAAGGGAGAAATTTAGTGAAGGATGAAATTCTGTGCTAATTACAGAAAATAGACATTTATAGTGGAAGTTCCTGGGTTAAGAATCTACATGTGGGAGCCTCCAGCCCTTCTGTGATACTACTTACAGGTCCTGTGACCTTGGGAGAGGACAATTACTCCAATCCTCAGTTTTCTATAAACCCGTGTTAATACTGCTCTCTATGCTTCACAGAGTTCAGTGATACCATGGGAAAGTGCTTGGTAGAACCCGAGGTCGTAAACAAAGATTGGTTTTATTAGCCTTTCCAATCCAAAAATTATCAATTTGCAGTATGATTTTTTTTGTCATGTTTGTATCAGAATACTAGAGATAGCAACTTTGAATGATTTTTTAATTTATGGTTTTGCTATAACTGATTTTTGTCGAATACTGGTAATGCTAAAGATTTCTTAAAGAATATTTGGCAAATCACATTTTTCCTAGCGCTTTTTTTTTTTTTTAAGTTGTCAACGGACCTTTATTTTATTTATATATATGCAGTGCTGAGAATTGAGCCTGGGCCTCACACATGCTAAAGCATTCACAACCCCAGCCCCCTAGTGCTTTAACATGCCTTAAAAAAAAAAAAAAAAGTGAGGCATGTAAATTAGTTGACTGAATCAATGTTATTAGCAAATTAAATGCTTGATAAAACTTCTATTGTAATAGTTAAAAAACATTTTCTGATGATGTAGATTGTACACACTAAAGCTAATCTGAGTCTGGCAGCAGCAGACTCAGATTAGCTTTAGTGCTTCTTCAAGGGAAAAAGAAATGACTTCTTACTGAGTTTGTAAGCACTATCACATCATTTCATCAATTTAAATTTTGATGAAATGATTTGATAGCTACACAATTAATGGCTTTGTAGATATTTTCCTTTCATATATACACACCACACACACACACACACACACGTGTGGTATGGCCAACAAAATCAACTCATCCCTGCCTTTTTGAAATTAGGGCTGTTCAGAAATGAATCTCACAACTGCACTTCTGCTCACAAAGTGGTATCCTGAGAGGCTTGGGTAGTACCAGCTGTGAGAGAGGATGAAAATGGGTACTGCATCTTAGATTGGGGAGGGGGACCCAGGAAAGACTTGTGCAAAAATAAAATTAAACTGAAGTTTGAAGGGCGAGTGGGCGGTTAGTGTCAAGTGATGTAGGGGATAATTTTCCAGGCAGAGGAACAGCATGTGGGAAGGCCCTGAAGGGGGAAAAAACTTTGCCCATTCCAGGAACTGAAGGAACAACTGTGGATAGATTCTAGTGGGTGAGGGGGGAGAGTGGCTAGGCATGGGGCCAGATCATGTAGGGTCTTGTAGGACAGGTTAGGGATGTTGTGTTTTATCCAGAACATAATGAGAAACCATTAGAAAGGTTGGGTTTTAAGCAGGGGAGTGACATAATCAGATTTGCATTTTTAAACAACCACTCCAGTTGCCACATGCAGAATGTGGGGGTGTGAGTGGAGCATGGAAGTGGGAAGAACACGCAGACTACTTCAGAGACCTATCTAGAGGAGTTGTGTCCTATTTCTTGGACTTTATAATGAAGTCACGTTACCACCTATGGTTTAGTCAAAATAGATGTTTGGTTTAAAAAAACAAAACCCCCTCATTTCTTACTCTAAAAAGGCAGGACTAAATAAAAGTAGGAATAAACAGATACTTTTTAAATGTACTGAAAAAGTGCACATAAGCATGAAATCAGTTGTCCACACTTAAAACAAAAACTGTCAGAAAATCAAGTTAAAAATTAGAACATTGTTTAATAAGTTTTGACAAAGCCATAACACAAGTGAAGTAAAGATGTAAAATGAAAAAGAAATATTTGTAGACACTGTTGACTAGGGAAACGTGCCTGAGTCTGCAGTGCATGTATAAAATTCATAGTTGAATATCCAAAGTAACCCAGCAGAGAATAAAACAAAAGAAACAGAAAATGAACTCTGGCCACATTTCAACAACAATAAAAAAAAACAGTGAAGCATGTAGGTAATGTGGATGCAGCCTACTGAGGAAATACTGTCTGCATAGAGGTGGTCATAAAGTATCCTGAATGACTTGAAGGAATGTTTTTGACGTAAAGAGAGGCCACATTCCTGGAAGTGATGTTTAAATGTCATGGAGATGGCCATTTTGGGGTGAACTTAATAATTATGAGTACTGAGGTGGGTATTTATGAGTATTTAAACACCACAGAGCCATATTCACCACATCAGCTTCATCCTGACTTTATTAGATTATCTGTACAGGTCACTGAAACCTGCGTTCACCCCAGAAATAACCTATTTTATATGGAAATCTAACACATGATAAGTCATGAGTGCCCCCTAAATCTGAAGAAAACAGAAGTCCCTATCAAACATCTGAAAGGAGGAGACCTGTACACTCAGCACAGACTTTGTAGTTAGTTGTACAATTGGAGACTTAAATAAGGAAACAAATCTCTATCTTACGAGTGTCATGAGAGTGAGAAACAATGGAGAAAATATAACAAAAAAAAATGTATTCCACTACATAAAAAGTAAAAGTTCAGAAGAAAAGGAAAACAAAACCCTACACCAAAAAAAGTTACCACAAAATCAGAAAATACTTGTGTCAATAAGCAAATGATCTTTAATATATAAAGTCCTATCTTACAAACAATTGGTAATTACTATTCAGAAGAGTTAGATTCTATTCTCAGTAGCAACAAGACTAGAAGATAATAAGAACAAAGCATGAATGAACTAAAACTTTATGCAGAACATTAAAATCTTAAATGATTTAAAAGTTAACCTGAGTAAATGGGCAGCCCTTGCAAGGAATTCATGATATTCTTGTAGGAGAATGAGATAATATGAAGGAAGTCTATTGCGGCATCATTTGTAATGAGGAAAAATAAAAACCAACTACCATAAATTTTGGTGCTGCTATACTTTGGAATATTACATAGTTTTTAAAAAGAGAGGCAGTCTTGAACGTATTGACATAGCCTGGATGGATGTCTATAATATACTATAGAGCCCCCACAAAATAAGTTTAATTCTGTTTTTTGTAAGATACAAATGTTATGTATGTTATATCTGAATAAAAAGGAAAAGGTCTAGAAGAATCCTTGGAAAAGCATTACTAGTGATTACTTCTAGGGGAAAGCATAGTTTATTTCATATGCTTTAGCATTGTTTTAGCGCTTTTTTTGAACAAGCATTTAAATAGGAAAAAAAAGCTACGTTCAAAAGATGTAGAATTATTTTTAAGGGTAATTGATTCCCTAGCCACTAAAAATGTTCATGAAGAAAATACATTAAAATAGTTGTGACAGTGTTAAGTTGGAGAAAATCAGGATAAATAGCTGTATACGTGATGTATTAAACAAAAGTCCCAACAACCTTCCAGTAAAACCTATGAATGGGGGACTCGGGTTGTAACTCAGTAGTAGAAGGCTCTTACCTCGTACATGTGAGTTGCTGGGTTTGATCCTCAGCACCACATGAAAATAAAGGGGTGTGTGTGTGTGTACACAGACAATTTGTAGAAAATTTGTTAGACTATTAAGAGTACTCAACAGGATTGACAGATACAAGATAGGTACAAGATATCTTGCATGTATTTATGTAGACATAAACAGACGGGTAAACTAATGAAAAATTATGGAATGGGATACTTCTATAAAGTATGAGGTTAAGTATGTCCAACTGCAACTAAAATAATATTTTTAAAAAACCTGTGAATGGAACATGTCTAGAAGAAAGTAGATGAGAATCTTAAGAATTGTGAGCTTTGGGTGGTAGAAAATTGGTGATTTAAATAATCTGCTTTTTTATATTTATTGAGATCATATCTATTACATTTATAACAGAACCTATGTATAATTTTATGTGTGCACTTTTTCAAAGCCACATAGAG